TACCGCGAATGGTGTTTTGGATTTAYAAGTGATTTGAGCGTATTTGAAGTTAAATCGATGCCTCAGATAACACATGATAACATTCGTACCCAGTGGCTTCTAGTTTGGCCGGGACAATTTGTGTACCAAAGACGACTACCATGACTACAAACACAGCCGAAATTTAAACTCGGGGATTCCTTCGGAACCCCGAGTAAAAAGCGCTTTTGGTCAATGTTGGAAATGTTACACGAGCTCGGTAGTTTGGCTAACCCAGGGCCTATCTTGTTCTTATCTAGGCATACTGTGTGCAGTTCCGTGTTTTTCGGAGGTGCTTTKGGGATCGGGTGAGGAGGGGGTGGTCTTTGAATGGACCGGCTTGCCAGTTTGATGAAATGATTCACATGTAAACAACAGTAAGTCTAGGTGATGATTAAATGATTTTCTTTTTGTTACTTTTAGATGAAGCTAACGAAGACCTTATGACCAMCAGAGGTTCGTTATGGTAGAAACAAAAACACTGAACAAGTCCCTTTGATAGAAATAATTACACCTTTTTTAAATGCATTTATAATAAACATTMCTTAATTACAATTATAATATAGCTATTACAGTAATCGCCAGTAATTGTTTATTTCGCCGGTCAACGCACGGATGCGAAATTGCCAGTAAAATAGAAAAGCAATAAGCATCACATTTTCGGGCCTTTCTTGTGGTAACCCAACACATCCCGCATGGTTTATTTCACCAGGAACGCACGAAAATGTGTTTCTTACTGCTTAAGTCAAATGTAGCTTTCTGTCATTAACCTGTAAATTGTCAAGAGAAAATGAAACACTTATTTTTATTAATTAGGTTATTTTTCAAAACTGACAAAACACGTGTTGAGGAGGTAAATAACCCCCCGGGGGGGAACTTCCCTATAAAGCATGGTAGGTATGCCCGACGGACCTTTTAGGGTCCTGAGCTGGACATAGGGTTTTWGTTGTTTTGCGTTCTCACTCGCTTCGTATTTTTTAGGGAAGAGATGTAAATGTCTTCTGGAAAACCGAAGAAAAGGCATTCGTTCTGAAACACCTCGGGAAATACTTGGAAGGGCCTAACTTTCCAGGTCGCCAGGAATGCGAAGAATGCATTTCATCCAGTAACGGGCTCCTGGACCACCGAACTTGGAGGAGTGTTAAGTCTTTTATTTGGAACACCAAAGACCGAATCAACCAAAGGTTTCAAAAGCAAAAGCAACAGCCCCCCTCAAAAAGTAAAAAGGTATATGATAAATGGAGGAAACATAACAATGTGATAAGAATATAGAGAAAAAATCTTTTTTTTTCATCTAATTTAATTAACAGTGTTCATTATTGGCATGCTGAATCCTAACCTTTTTCAGCAACGTAGCTGCGATGAGGCAAGCTTGCCTCGCGCTTAAAAATTTATTTTTTT